GAGGCCCTCTCCTGAGGTTTCACTCCATGTGGCTGACCACTAGAAGTGTAGGAGGTGGGAAGACGTGAAAGGACCTCTTCAGCGGTGGTGACAAGTTACACAACAGATGACTGGTTCCTTCTCTATGTAGTAAACAAGTTAAGAGTTTCCTGTTTCGTTAATGTATTTTGGTTCTGGCTAAATGGGCCAGAGGAGGAGGAGAGTTGGTTTTATACCCCTCTCTTCACTAGTTGAAGGAGTCTCGAAGCGGCTTACAATCCCCTTCCCTTCCTCTCCCTCTCCCCACAACAGACACCCTGTGAGGTAGGTGGGGCCGAGAGAGCTCTGAGAGAACTGTGACTGACCCCAGGTCACGGAGCAGACTTCATGTAGAGGAGGAGCGGGGAATCAAACCCAGTTCTCCAGATTAGAGTCTGCCGGTCTTAACCACTGCACCACAGAAGTCTCTGCAATAGATTTTATATTTTATTTGTTTAATTCATTTGTACCCCCCTGTCTCCCCATTGGGGACCCAAAGGCAGTTACATCGTTCTCTCCCCCTCTGTTTTATCCTCACAACAACCTTGTGAGGTAGGTTAGGCTGAGAGGGTGTGATTAGCCCAAGGTCACCTGGTGAGTTTCTGTGGTGTGTGTGTGGATTCGCACCCAGGTCTCCCAGATACTAGTCCACCACTCTTAACTGCTACACTACACTGGCGCTAATGGTATTTAATGGGTTGCTTTGGCTTTACGATTCTTAATTTTTCACTCTGAGTTTCATTGGTTTTCCCTCTTGTTAGCCAACCTAAGGGTTTCACTGACTAATGAGGCTGAATATAAATATTTTAATTAATTAATACAGTAAGGTTGGCGTGTTATTTATTTAATTATTTCATTGAACTTATTTGCCTGCAAGCAGGCTCTGGGTGATTTACAGCCTTATAAAACATTTAAAATACAGTCAATGTATTTTAATGCATTAAAATACAGACAAACAATAAGTTTGCCAACAGTAAATTAGTAATTTAAAACCGATGCAAGATAGTGATATAATAATCCCCCTTTACTGGCCACACTGCTGTCCGGCAGGGCAGGGCAGGGTACCTGGGGGCCATAGGAACAAAAGGAAGGATGCCAGTCTTAACCTCCCATTGCTGCCCTCAACCAAAAGCCTGGTGGACCATCTCTGCCTTATAGGCCCCGCAGAATTACATCAGATCCCGAAGGGCTCTGATGTTATCCGGTAGAGAGTTCCACCAGATCAGGGCCAGGACCAAAGAGGCCCTGGCCCTAGTTGAGAACAGCCGGGCCTCCCTAGGGCCAGGGATCACCAACATGTTGTTACTAGCCAATCTCAGCATTTTTCTGGGGACATATTGGAGGAGGAGGCCCTGGAGGTATGTGGGTCCTTGACTGCTCAAGGCCTTGAAAGTCAACACTAACACCTTGAGCCTGACTCGGTACTCCACCAGTAACCAGTGTGGCTGGCGCAGCACAGGCTCTGTGTATGCTGTCTGTGGCGTTCCCGCCAGGACTTGCACTGCCGCATTCTGGACTAGTTGGAGCCTCCAGGTCAGTCTCAAGGGCATGCCAGCGTAGAGTGAGTTACAGTAGTCCAGCCTGGATGTTAAGTTGTGAGCTTAACAAATAGTCGGAGAGTGATTTCAGCAAGAACACAACTTTATTCTTCAACTTGAACACTTCTCCAACATGGATCAACATCTAATAGCTTTAACATTGCAGCTGTCCTGCTTTTAAACATTCCCGGCTAATATAGCTACGCCCACTGTACACATAACAACCATTAGGGTTGAAGACACAATCACAGGTGTTCCCTCTCTGTGAAGTGATTGGATGACACTTCCTGGGCTAGTACTCCGATTGGTTACATTTGGATCCTAGCCCAGGGCGAAGCTTAACATTGCTTTCCAATGAGATGATTCACCATACATAGGTATTCAATGGCAGCAGTTGAATACACTACACTGGAGGTGACCATTGCATGGATTACCGTGGCTAGGTTGGGGCGCGACAGGAAAGGGGCCAGCAGCAGTGTTAGAGTGTTTGTCTAGGATCCGGGGAACCAGGTTCAAATCCATCTCTTATCTTCGCTGTGGACTAAAGCTTCCCAGAGTGGATTCATTTTCATTTGCAGAGTTTGTTTGATCTTATCTATACTCAGTAGGAACCCAAAGAAGCTTTATTTCGTTTTCCCTTACACCATTATTTTGACAACTGGGGGGAGTTAGCCCACACCATCCCATACCATTCCCGTGGCCCCAATCCTTCCCCCTCAGCAGCTGTTTTTTGAGAGCCAAATAATAAGACCCAGGGTTCTTATCATGGAAGTTGGTGTCTTTGTTTATAAAGGTGGTTGTAAATTCAGATTATAGGTCAAGGTCTGCAAGCCGTAACCCAAATGTGGCTTTGTACTGAACCTAACACAGCTATTTTAGAAAGACAAACATCTTTAAGTTAATGAGTATTGGAGGGGTAGTTGAGAGGCCAGAAGAAGCAGGATGTGAAGGGAATGGTAAGCAATGGTAAGCAACGAATTTCATGGGACAGCAGGACTTCTTAGAAACGCTTCACGGAAAGTGAAAGAGTGAAGTTTTGCAGCTGCCAGTAATCCAAGCAAGAACCATGTGCAGATTTATGCACATTTATCGAACTGTGCAAGATGCTCTTGAGTGTATTACTTATTGTGAGGTTTCATGTATGCTACTTCCTAAAAAAGAAGAAGGAAATAGCCAGTGTTTGGGCTGCAGAAACTTGATGGAGTATTAATATGTCCAGGGCTCTTTTTGTAGATAAAGCCCAGCAGGAACTCATTAGCATAATAGGCCACACCCAACAGCAGAAACTCATTCGCATATTAGGCCACACCCCTGACCGCACAGCTCATTAGCACATTAGGCCGCACCCCCATGTTACCAGAAGTGTACTCATCCAGCCACACCCACCTTTTATTCTTATTCTGCTTACCTTGTTTGTTGTCAAAACCCAGGGCTTTTTGGGTAGCAGGAACCCCTTTGCATGTTAGGCCACACGCCTCTAATGTAGCCAATCCTAATGAGTTTCTGCTGATGGGTGTGGCCTATTATTCTAATGAGTTCCTGCTAGGCGTGGCCAACTTGGAAGCCAGCTGGAACTCCGTTCCTGTGCGTTCCTGCCCCAAAATAGCCCTGAATATGTCAGATATCTGCACGTTTAACTTGCGTATTTTCAGTTATGAAAACGAACATTGTTATACTCAGGGCTCTTAAAAAAAAAAAAAAAAAGAGGTGCCTGAGCTCTCAAGAGGGAAATGAAGTTTTCAGTCTGTATACTAAAAACCTCACAGACGTTTAAACATTTTAAAAATAATTTTGTCGAAGAGGTTCTGGAACTCCGTTCTGGCACGTTCCCCCAGAAAAAAAAAGCCCTGGTTATATTGCTTTTTGTTGATTCCCTTGCTCTGCATTCTGATGTAGCCCAGTCCTTTAATTATAAACCTCTGCTGACCCCTGCTATAGATAAAAACTGGGATCCATTGAAGGAACACACGTGTATGAAAGAGAACCGTGCTCATAGCTGCCCTGCTTGTCCTGTTTTTACTGAAAAGGTACGATTTCACCTGCCTCTTTGGCAGTGGGGACAGATAAGTTAAGAAGCCAAGCTCCTTCAACATGCACATTTCTCTTCAGCACACGTATCTGACTCTTCTTTGGATCTCAGCCCCGGTCATGAAACTGCATCCTTCACTCCCTCCTGGCTGCTCATTGCGTCTTTATAAATGTTGCTGCAATTCTAAGAAGTCTCTGTTGCTTTAGTAGGGCAAGTAAATATGAAAAAAAAACAACCAACACCAAGTACGTAGCATAGGGTTCTAATTTAAGCATCAAATGCATTAATAAGGTGCTCTTATTTGTTTGTTTGTTTGTTTGAATTGGATTGAATTTCTAGCCTGCCCGCCCTTGCACAGCAAGACACACGGTGGGTTACGACAATAATTATACAACAATTTAAACGATTAAAATGTAGTTGCAAAATATAATCATACATCAAACTTAACCATTAAGACATAATTACAGAATATTAACCAATAGTTGACCGGATGGTGATCAAGCACAATTAATAGGTGTTCCTGAGAAGACTATCTGTTGGAGTGCTCAGAATAAACCCAGATCCTGGGCAAGCGGGCAAGAGCTGCAGACAATAGCACAGGATGAATGGTGCCAGGGGGAGTAGGGGAGGCTGATGTAATTTGACACTCGCCGCCTCAACTGTAGGTAGGCTTTCCAAGTCCCCGGGGGGGGGGGCCGTTTCCCGCTGCTGGCGGATTGGGCCCCGGGGGAACCCCACCCCGACATGCGGGTCACCCGGAAGTGACGCGGCCATGCTGGGGCGGGGCCACGGTCATCCAAGGGAAAACTCTATGGTTTTCCCTCGGATGGTTGTGGCCCCGCCCCCAGCGTGCCCGGCCTTGTCACGTCACTTCTGGGTGACGTGCGTGCTACGCGCTCCAGCCACGGGGCGGGAGTCCCCCGCTACAGACAAATTTCAACTTGGCAACCCTAACTGTAGTCCTGGTGGAACATCTCCATTTCACAGGCCCTGCAGAACTATAACGAGTCCCGCAGGGCCCTGATCTCAGTTGGGATGGTGTTCCACCAGGCTGAAGCCACAGACGAAGGCCAATCGAATGTCCTTTGGGCCAGAAACCACCAGCAGGTGTTGATCTGCAGAGCATAAAGCTCTTTGAGGGACCCGCGGGGACATATTTCCAAAACAGAGTACTTCTGGGAATACGTTGAAAGACTTTTGAAATTTGGCTCCATTCGTTCTTCCATATCAGTCCATGTCTATATGTTTGAGCACTGATCTGTGGACATCTACCACGACTTCTTTTCCTGCCTTGATATAGTCTTAATCTCTAATAGTTATTATATTAAAACTGAAGCATTTTAATATGGCTGTGTTGACACAATTCAATATTAAAAATACTAACACTTCTTTGCATATTTAACAATTCATGCCAGATTTCCCTATGGATTCTAATAATGGCAACTGTAGAGGCACCAGCATGGGTGAGTACATTTTTTTAAAAAAATCTTAATCTTAC